GACCGACTTCGTCAAGAAGAGGCAGACCTGCAGGCGGCAGCCGAACACCGGTCACGCCAGCGGGAACGACTGTTCACGCGGGAAACCGTGATCGGCGATGAGGCCGCACATTGGGTGGAAGTGACATCTGCAGGCGGGGCCCCGGAGACTGAGAAAGGGTTGTCATCCCTTGCGCAGGTCTCCCACGACCTCGTGGCCACCTGCGCTCTGCAGCAGCAGGAAATCCTTCACCTGCAGCAGACAGTGGACCAGATGCTCGCACGGCTGCAGGCGTTGGAGAAACAGCGAGCTGCTGTAGCAACCGCAGGGCCTTCCACCCTTACCACCCGTGTGCAAGTTTTGGAGGATGACGTCAGCAACATCAAGCGTGTGCATCAGGACTTCCGGACGTCGCAGCAAGCAACGAACTTGCAGTTGGAGACGCAGGTCCAGGCTGCTGCCACCGTGACGCCTGCCTCCGCATCCTCCCGGCGCCCACCCAAGCTGGATGACATTCCCGTCTTCTGCGATCAGTCCAAGACGGAACCGATCCCGTGGTGGCGCCAGTTTACTTTCATGCTCGACATGCACCATGTCCCGAACAACGATCGACATCCGTGCTTGTACCACCGATCTGGTGGTGCGTGTCAAGCATGGCTGGACAACATCTTGACCAGCCATGGCGTAGCAGTGTCGGAACTGCACACCAAGCTCACTTGGCAGGAGTTGACCGACGCCTGGCACAAGCGATTCCAAGTGGATCCGCCCGACCTCCAAGCGATGGACAAGCTCAACAAGCTCCATCAGAACACGCTGCTCAGTCAGGACTGGATTACCGAGTTCCAAAGACTCGCCTCCACACCCGACCTGCCGCTCGCATTCCGCGCCATTAAGCACTTGTTTATCATGCGCTTGTGTCCAGCTCTGCAAAACGTGTTGACGCAGATTGCAGAGACACTCGACACATCAAACAAGCTTTTCAGCACAGCGTCACGGATCATTCTCACGAATATCGAAGCCCGCAACGCCGCCGATCTTCCGCAATGACCAGTGGCACCCAGCCCAAGCCAAAGGTGGCTTGCATTACTTCTACCGAGGCTGCAACACCAAACGAGGGTGAAGTGTTGGCAACTGCCCGGGATGGTGGCCGGCCGTGCAACAACCACGGCCGCGACAAGACGAAGACTCAGTCCACCTCTACACCGAGCACCGGATCAGCCGTCGACGAACCTTGGGCACAATACGGACTCTCGGCGAATTCTTATCGCACGAGACTCAAGTACCGTTACTGCCTTTGGTGC